CATTTGGGCATCTAATTCCCCTAAGATCCTTGGAAATATGCTTGTTTTCAAACCCTTCGGGTTCCAGCATGCACCATGAGTGTGACTATGACCACAGGGCGGGCCCCCACTCTGGAACACTGGCCCCTCCTCGCACCCGTGTGACTGGGAAGCTCGACAAAGAGATGAGACCCGGGCTTTCGGCTCCTGAGCTTTGGTGGGGAAAGGGTTAAGCAAGTAACATGAAGGTCGCCTGACGGCTAGACCAGAGGTTCCCTTGCTCCTAACAGGCCCACAGATAACCCCTGACACCCCTCGCTCTCTCATCCTGCCCCCTTCGCCCCTCCCATCCCCCTGGCTAGGGCAGGAGGGAAACTGGAAATTTGATTCATTTTTAAATTGTGTTTCCAGTGCTTCCTGTGGGAAACTTCAGTTTCTCATCATGAAGGTCGCCTGACGGCTAGACCAGAGGTTCCCTTGCTCCTAACAGGCCCACAGATAACCCCTGACACCCCTCGCTCTCTCATCCTGCCCCCTTCGCCCCTCCCATCCCCCTGGCTAGGGCAGGAGGGAAACTGGAAATTTGATTCATTTTTAAATTGTGTTTCCAGTGCTTCCTGTGGGAAACTTCAGTTTCTCATCAACAACCAAAACACTTCCATTCAGAAGTGCTGTGGTGCCTCATGAGAATTGTAGTTTAGGTATCTCATGCCTTTATTTTTTCTTAGGGGTTGGGCTCCCTAGCCAGACTACATTTCCCATGATGCACAGCATCCCTTCGCCATGATCTCAGTGCTTCATGGGAGTTGTAGTCTGGCCAGGAAGTCCAGCCCATAGAAAAGAGGAGTATGAGGGGGCCTGAACTACAACTCCCATAAGGCACCACAGGAGGCATGCCAAATGGAAATGCTTCAGCTTTACACCGAAATAATGTGATTTCAGACACTTCCTCCACTTCCCTGCTTTCTGAACTGCCCCCTACAAGCCCATTGCATTGGCCTCCTGCTCCCTCATCTCCTCACCCCTGCCCCCAGGCTGGCCCTGGCTCCACCATTAGGTGCATTATAGGCGCTCCGGCCCTCAGGACCCCTTGGCATTGTACAGCCACAGGGCAGAGCAACGGATCCTGCCCCACAGAGCTAACAGCCCAGGGCTCTGCTTCCAGGCTTAGAAGTCAAGCACATGCCTGAAGCGCTTAGCTGGATCAGGGCCTGAATGCCTGGCAATGCTCCGTTAGCAAACCGCTTGCGGGGGGTGGGGGCAGGACGGGGGAGAGAGAGCCACTCCCCAGCCACGTCCCTTACAATTAGCTAGAACTTCCTCCGCAAGGATCCTTCCATTGGATCATTCCCCCCTCTTCTTGCGTGCCCCTGTGCCCAGGACATACCCAACAGCTCGCCAGTGTGGGGGAAGAACAGATCGCCCACCTCAGCTAGGCGGGGGACGGGGTGGGGGCAGGATACAAGGGAGAGGGTAGGCAGGAAGCATTTCTAGGGAACACAGGGCTAAATCGAGGGGAAGGGAATGATGCCTTAGAGCAGTGTTTCCCAAGGGGTGTTCTGCGGAACCCCGGGGTTCTGTGAATTGAAAATGAGGGTTCCGCGAGAAAGTTCCATGACAACAACATTTGATGATTAAAACATAATTAAGATTTAAGCATTTATGAATTTTATTGAAAACAATTTTCATGTGTGTTGATCTCTCGACCTTGTGGAGCGTTTGTTTATTATTATCCTTACTTATTTGTGGTCTACCTTTTCGGCTCCACATACGAGACTGTTCTTAAGGGTTCCGCAAAATTCTTTTGCGTTTAAAAGGGTTCCGTGGCCAAATACAATTGGAAAAACACTGCCCTAAAGCGTCTGGCATGGAAACATGTTCCCCAGGCCTTGAAACTAGGGGTACAACCCCATCACTTTCCTACCCTGCCCTGCAGGACACCAGCCCCCTGCTTGGCAGGGCATGCGGTGCGGCAAGGAGAGAAGACGGGCTAGTTTTATACTCCTGCTGGCAGAAGGGAAATATGGCCCCCAAGCCAGAGACCCCTGCCCCTCGGGTTTCTCCCACACCCCTCACTCGTGGGCGAAGGCAGGACCCTGGCCATCACGGCCTGCGCATAGCCGGGGAGCAGGCGTTGCAGCACATGCACAGAGGGAAGCGGCAAGCGGCACGGGATTTCCGACAGGCACGAGACAATTAGAGCAAGAAATGCCCCCTGGGCGGGTGAGGGATGGCTCCGCTTTTCCAGCCAGTAGGGCCTGCGAAACGGGCCCCCCAGCTGGCTTGTTATACTGGGACGTGGACCTGGTGGGCCTGGGGGCCAGTGGGGGGACAGCTGCAGCTGTTTGGGACACAGGAAGTGTGACCGAAAGTGGCAAAGTGCAAGGGATCTGACCAGCTACGCCCCGTGAGGGAGCTCGAGGGGCCTGTGTTAATGTTATTTGCCAAGTACAAGGATTCTGTTGACAGGTTGCACCTTTGTAGTGGAAGTCTGATCTGCCGGGTCGTGCTGTGTTTCAAACCTGTGCAGTGCATCTCCGGGCTCCCCCCGACAGACTGGCATCAGCCCTGCCCAGCTCACCGAGGGACATCAGCTGTCCAAGGACTAGCCCTGAGGAGTTAGCAAGCCATGCAGGGCCATGCCTAGGGACAGCTCTCCCACTGCTCTGCCATGTGCTGGGATGCTTGGGTTTGAGACACAGAAGTACAAGCCACATGGCAAGACACTACAAAAGGCTGTTGCCATCTCATCCATTGGCTTGGGCGGCGGGTAATGTAGGCAAGGGAAGGCATTGCCTTCCCAGAGTTACCGACACACCCCAGCCACCAGGAGCCCCACTCTTGCTGGTGGCCAGGAAAGATCTGGCTGGGGTGGGCGGGACTTAGCTCCAGGGGCGGGCCTTGGGTGGAAAGGGCAAGACTAGAGCTTGCCTGTCCCAGCTGGGTCTTGAAAACCCAGAGGAAGGGGCAGGGGGGGTTTTTTCTGCCAGCTGACAAAAAGGACTGACCGATGCATTCGAGCTGCGGGAGCGTGCCCGAGGGACTTTCCAACCAGCAAGCTCACCCACCCAGCTAGGAACCGGATACGTGGACTCTGCAGGGCTCAATCGTTTCATTTTTCTTTGGGTGTCATAAACCGTTAGTTCTAGTTGCTAAAGGCCTGGCTGGGTGTGGGGAAGAGCCAACCGAACGCCGTCCTGCTAACGTGGCAGATCCCTGGGGAATCGGAACATTTCTGCAGACGTGAGTGGTTTTAAAGGAACTTCTCGATGCTCTGGGCCTAGGTGCAGATCGGGAGGCAGAGAACTGGGGTGCAGCAAGGGGCCCTGTGGTTTCTTTTTCAGCTTCTTGGGCCCCGCTGGGGAGGGTCTGAAGCAGAGTCAGTGTTTGGGGAGTTTAACTTCTGCGTTACCCACCGGCCGCTAGGAGACGCTGCTCTCCCTTTTGCAGCCTGTTCTGACCGCGGCCTGGCTCTGAGGGGGTACACAAGACATCCACCCAGCACCCACACCCCGAACCTCACACCAGCACCCCTATGACAGCCCACCTGTAATTTAACATGTGCCACGGGCAGAGAAAAGGAGGGACCCCCGCAGGAAATGGACTGAGCCAAATCCAGATCATCCACCTCCTCCCACCCCACGCGGCAGAGGAAGGGTTAAATCCAGGCCACTGTGCCCCTGGGTAACTTCTGCTCTGCACAGCACAGACGGGACATGGGGGTTAGGACACAGGTAACACGGTGGGGGGAGGGGGGAGGAAGGCGGGGAAGGAACCCTGCAACAGCTGTGCAGCGTGGGGCGGGGAGCTGCTTACTAAGCCGCATGTGTTTGGGAGGCCACACGGGACAGAGCTGGCTCAGAGCGGAGCCGTTAAGAGCCCTGCCCCACTCCACCGGGGGGGGAGGGGAGACCACGCCAACAAACCTCTTCCGGGACCCCAGAGGTGCGACACACCCCCCTCCATCCCTGCCCCAAGAGCACTAAGCTGGCAGGGAAGCCAGGTCAAGATGCCTTGTCGGAACAGCCAGTTCCCAAGCCGCTCTCCGGGGGCCGGGAGGGGGGCTGCAGAGGTGACTCATGGAGGGCGCGAGGCGCTGGCAGGGCCAGCGGAGGAGAACGCCGAAAGGGAGAGGGCGGGAAGGAGGATCGTGCTGGCTGATATGCGGCGCGTGCTCCAGAAGGGGTTAATGATTAGCACCCCCTGCCTCCCTCGCCCCCGCCCGCGAGCCACCGCCAGGCTGGGGGCTTTGGCTCATGCGCGTCGGTGCTCGAGCGCCGCGGTGGCTTCATGCTCTTTTCCGGTGTCATGCACAGGCAGTGGGAGAGCTGCAGCTGGGGAGGATCCCAGACCGGGGTCAAAGGGCGGCGCAGCAACAGCCGCAATGCAGAGAGAAGCGGGGGGGAGGCTGCTACGACCTGTGCCTTGTAGCAGCACTCGGACGAGGGGGACGCCAGTCAGGACCCCTTCCCCCCCCGCAACTGCACTGGGCGCTGCCCAACTCCACTTGACAAGGGAGGTGGCCAGGACCAGCGCTTGGTACCATCTGCCCTGCCAGCAGGCTGGCGAGGGGCGGGAGGTCTGGATGGACTCACACCAAGTGGTACTATAGGAGTGCAGTCTAGTGGTTAGGGCAGGGGCCTGGGAATCAGGACTCGTGGGTACTATTCCCAGCTCTGCAAGGGGTGGGGGCCTAGTGGTCAGAGCAGGGGGGTGGGAGTCAGGACTCCCCAGGGCTGTGAACAGAACCAAGAGTCCCTACACAGGGCTCCCCTTCTCTATCCATGCCCACCCCCACTCTCCTGCCAGGCCCACCAGCCTCACCTCCACCCCCTACCCCCAAGATGGGACTGGAACCCAGGAGTCCTGGTTCCCAGTTCTGTGCGTGAGGGCCCATCGCGAACTCCAAGCACGAGCCAGGCTGAGCTGCCAGCTCCTACCTTGTTCTTCTTGCTGAAGGGCCAGCGCTTCCCTTTGTTCTTGCCCAGCTGACGGGGGTCCAGCCGGCCGTCCAGGGTGCCCCGGGGCGTCCCCAGGCTGCTGTCCGACGAAGTGCGGTTGATGGGCTGGCTGAAGTCTTCGAAGTCCACGTCCCCCGGCCTCTCGAAGCCGGACTTGTGCAACTCGATCAGCGCCTGGGAGTCCTGCCGGCAGCGGGGGCGGAGGGTGGGCATGGCCGCTGGGAGAACCGGAGACGCTCCCTCCCTCCCCTGCGCCCGTTCCCCCTAGCTACAGCGGCGCCACCTCCCCAGAAACACTCGCATGCGCAACCCACGTGTCGCCAGCAGGGCCAGGCTTCAGGGAGCTTACAATGGCCACCCCCAACGGGGGTCACTAAGCCACAGAAAAATCAGTCAGGGGCCAGGGGCTGCGGGGAGGGGGCGGAGTGCCAGCACAGGACCCCCAATGCTGGGGGGAGCCCGAAGCCTCAGGGGCCAGATCTAGGCAACTCAGGGGCCGCATCCGGCCATTAGGCCCCTCACCCCGGTGCAGTGCTTAGAGCAGGGTGAGCTGAAATCAGGACCCCCGGGTCTTACGCCCACTCACTGGGGCTGTGAAAAACCCACACGTGCCGCTGGGTTTGGGAGCTGGGGCCAGATTTGCATCCAAGCAAAACCTCCCCATGCTGGTCTGGGCCCCCTAGTGGAGGGGAGAGGTTAGCAGCTGGATCCCTCCCCGGGTAGCTCCTCCTACTTTGGGGGCGGGGTAACCTCCTGGCTCCCTATTGGTGGTGGGAGGCTGTGATGGCTGAGTATTTCCCCAGTTAGCTCCTTCCACTGCTAGAGCAGCCGCCAAAGCACTCGTCCACCCCGGAACACCGTTTAAAGAGACAGCAGCACCCACGTTCTTCTCGTTCACCGAGTCGGCCGCTGTCTTCATGCCGTCCAGGCACTTGCCGATGATGGGCATGACCTGCCGCTCGGTCTCGGAAAAGACGCCGTAGCCTTCCTTGAGCCGCACCGTCCGCCTTTCGTCCATCTCCTGCAGCTTCTGGAGGGCAGAGAGCAGACCTCACTTACAAAGGGGCGCGGCAGCTCAGGGACACAGATCACCCTTGAGGACACTGCAGGAAGGGGGTCCGAGACAGGGAGAATGTTCCAAGGCCTGGAATGACTATGAATTTTATTATTGAAGCCCAGCTCTTCTATGGTGCTTCACTAAGCAGGGCAGTACTATTATCCCCATTTTACATTTGGGGAAACTGAGGCATAGAGCAGGGACATCACTTCACCCAGCAGGCCTGTTGAAGAAGCAGATATAGGACCTGGGGGTCCTTCACGCTGGTCTGGCAAAGTTCGTTTGATTGTTAAAAGGCTGGGGTCGTTTACCTTGCAGAGGAGACACCATTGAAAGCCACACAGTCTCAGGTGGGATTGAGAAAGGAGATAGGACGGGCCCATTCACGTAACACAAAAGCAAAGGGACATTTACTAAAACCGAAAGGTGGCAAATTCTAACAGAGGATTTGTACGCGTGCGTCGTTCTCCCTGCCCCTCCCCTCCCAAAAATACCCTTGGGCCAGACAACTCTCCAGTGATATCAAGACAGTAAGAAAAGAAGGGAAGGAGGGAAAGGAGGCGGGGCTAAGAGTCAATGGGAGGGGCTTAGATGGATGGGCGGAGCTTACGTTGAAGATCTGCGGCATCTCCAGGAAGTAGAACTGGCTCTGGTCACGGTTGAATTTCTGCAGGAAGGAGGCGTACTCGTTCTTGCTCTCCTCCGCCATGTGACTGCGCAGATTGGCCTGCTGCTTCGCCTGCAGGGGTAAGAGGCATCATCACCCCACGCGTCCCAGGCTACGCCCCCTCCCAACAGGGAGCCCAGGGATCAGCCCGGGGAATCCCCTCTATCCAAAGCCCTGCCCTGGCTCCCCATACGCGACAGCAAGCGCCCAGGAGGGTCTCGCTCCTGCCTGCTCTTCTCTCTCGTGCCACACAGCTAACTCCTCCCACTCATCGCACCCCGAGAGGAGACGGGGGGGCCCCCAGTATCGTGCCAGTGCTGCAGGCAGAGACAGACAGTCCCTGCCCTAGAGAGCTCAGTCTGAACAGCCTCGGGAAGGACTTTTATCCCTATTGTAGAGACAGGGAAACTGAGGCACAGAGCTAATGACGGGCCCACTGGCGCCCAGAGGGGAGTTCCTATGGGCAGAGTCAGGAACCGAAATCTCCCAAGCGCCGTCCTCTTCCTCTAATGCAGCCTCTTCAAACCCACCTGCTCCGGATGGGCAGAGACCTGCTCCGTAAGGCAGCTCGCAAAACAGACTCCCCCTCGCCCCATGGGCCCCCGGGGTTCCAGGTCTGCTGGGCACTGCCCTGCACGCTCTGAGGGGGCTGCCCTCCCTTCTGCTGGGCCCCCTCCCAAGCCCCCCGTTGGGGGTTGCAGCCAAGGCGACGGCCGCGTCCCAACCTTCTCCACGTCAGCTTTGGTGGCATTGAGGTCCTGGTCGAGCTTCTCGGCCGTCAGCACGGCTTTCTCCGCCTCCCGGCAGTCCCGCTCAAACTTGCGCTTGCTCTGGGGCGGGGCAAGGACAGAGGAGCCAGTTACCTTGCTGGAGAGCACAGCCCCTCCCTCACCGACGGCATTTCGGGGAACCCCCGGGGAAGGGGGGCAGGGGTTCTCCCCCGTTCTAGGGGAGAAAGCTAAGGCTAGAAGTTAAGGGACCTGCGGAATGGGCGTGTGGCAGAGCTAGGAAACAAACCCAGAACGCAGGAGTCCCGGCTCCCAGCCTCCCCACTAGAGCCTCAGCCCAGTTTTGCTGCACATGTTCGGGACTTGTGCGGAATAAAGCCCCTTTCATTCTCCTGAAGGCATTTCCTTCCACCAGCTGTTCGGGAAACCCTCTGTGGAGCATACGCTGACCCGTGCAGCTGTGCCTACGCGAACGCCGGCCAAAATGGAAAGGCTTCCCGCAGCTCCAGAGCGCTTGGATCAGGCCCAGCGCGAACACGAACACGATGCAAACAGCTGGCACCCTTCCCCAGGACTCACATTTTCGAGTTGCTTGAAGGAGTTTTCGAGCTGTTGCTGGGCTCGCCGGCCCTCCTGGAAGTGCTGCAAAGAGGAGAAACATCAGAGGAACCTCACGATTGCCAGCCGCCTCGCCGTTCTGCCTGTGTACCGCTCCTAGCGCGGCAAGGGTCGGCCATAAGACGCTCCACCAGCAGGCGAGGCCTGGCGCTGATGGGGCAAATGCATTTTGCGTGGATTGCACTTACAGGAAAGTTCAAGATATATCATAGAATTTTGTATTAATGTGGTTGCAAATGGGAAGTAAAAGAACAGTTTTCCATTTGTAGGATTTCAATGTCAATCATTCATTTTACGGAATAATTACCCCACACGGTACATTTGACTCAGAAATGCGTAAAGCTTCCTTTGCTCTTTCCGGAACTAATTTGAATTATTTTGATTGTGGAGCTATTTCAGGATTCCTCCAATATCCCAAAATAGCTATTCCACATCTTAAGAGCATCAAAATATAATGGGCCCACTACTCCAACGTCCCCGTAAACCTCGTTGCACGAGGGTGAAGGGATGTTTCGGAATAGCGCTTTATTTCGAAATTACCCCAAAATAAGCTACACAATTCGCATAGCTTATTTCGAGGTAAGGGTGCAGTGCAGACACACCCTAACAGTCCAAACGGTCTTTGCACTAAAAGGACAGTTGAATGGGCGACTCGGTTTTAATTTTGTTGGCAAACATTTTTCATGAACTCTAATTGTAATAGTCATGACTTTTTTACCCCCTCGGATAAAAACAAAAATTATTTAAACCTTTCACCCAGCATATTCTGGGGTGAAAAGTAGTGCATTCAGCTAATTTAAAGTGGCAGGATTGTTTATGCAAAGTTTGGTCTCTGTAGGTAATCACAAGGTATAACTTTATTTTGCACAAACAAATCCACAAACTATTAAAAACATATAATAGATGAACAACGTACATCCCCTAGCACCACAGAGCCCCAGCCGCTACTGTAAGCCCCCATGAACAAATTAACCAAATAGTAGAACATTCTTCATTGCAGCCTGGATTTCCACAAGTGGTTAGAGATTTGGGAAGCGCAAGATGCCTTAAATTGACCCTCGTTTTCAGACAGCACGGAGCACCCTGCCCTTATGAAAGACGCAAGGTCCCTTTAAGAAGTCACACACACCTAGCAGTTTGGGGCCCTTCTGAAAGTGCAGGCGGGGAGGAAGAGCCTTCTGCTGTTGGCTATTTAGTAGGTGCATTACGGTAACGCGGTCCAGGCATGCTCTTGACCTCTGATACTTGTACTACAGCAGCGCCCAAACACCGAGTCTCTTCTCTTCTCTCCGCAGCGCTTGCAGATTCAGTTAGCAACTGCGACGCTCCCGCGGCCGGCCACAAGCAAACCCTCCAACATGCTGGTCTCCACTGGTCGGGTGCCTCCCTCGGGGAGGGGATCTGGCTGCAGAGGCTTCAGCCGAGGGGGTGGCAAAGCCGCCCCAAGAGACAGCAGCAGCCTAGGGATTCTGGAGGAGGAATAGGTGGCCCCAGCTCCCGGAGGGCGCGAGGGTCTGTCCTTCCAGTGACCTGGCCTAGATTTAGGCAAAGGATGCAGCATCTGCAGGGGCTGACCCTGGGTCCTGCCACATGCCCTCCGCTATCACGCGAGCTAAAGGCCCCGGTGCATTGCAGCAGTAGTAGGCTGTCTCTGCCAAGGCTAGGCCCTGCAAAGAGGCACGCTTGGCAGGTGCAGGATCCAAATTCTCAAGGCTAAGTGGGGGGACCCCTCCCTCATAGCAAAGGATGCTCAGGGCTAAGCTGGACCCACAGCCCACCCCGCAGACCTCACTAAGCCCTGGACGATGGGGGGGAGGGGGAGGTGTTACCGATTTCCTCTCCTGCTTGAGCTCCTGGGCCTGCTTGGAGAGCTCCACACAGATCTGCGTCATCAGGTTCTCCGCCACCACCTCCCTCTGGCCAGCAAAGTCATTGAGCTCCTTCACCACCTGCAGGAAGGCCTGGTACTGGCAGAACCTGGAGCAGGGGCAGAGTTAAGGGTGAACGGCAAGGTCACGCTCAGGTCACTGGTGCACCACCCCGGCGCCTCCAAACTCTGTCTCCCAGTCAGCTGTTTTAAAAGCCGCCCTGAACAGAGTGGATCAGAACCGGCTTCCGGCCAGTCCAGGAGCCCAGCTCCAGCAGACACACAGGGCTGCTCCTCCGCGCAGCACAGCCACCTGTGGGGGGACTCCCTGGCCTGCAGGTCACTGATTCAAGGTCAGAAACTTCAGACAACGGAGGATTCCCCCGGGCGTCGGTCCGAGAGTCAATCTATGGCTGGGTCTATTTAGCATCAGCTTCTGACTGCCAGACCTGGGTCCGGCCTTCCCCTCTTCACAGTCCAGACAGTCCCCGACTTACGCACGAGTTACGTACCGAACACTTGGTCGTAACTCGATCTGTTCGCGAGTCGGACTCCATTTGTGTCAATGTGACCGCGCTGTTCGTAAGCACGGATCGCACGGTCGGAACTCGGGGACCGGCTGTAATGCGCTTAATGGGAGGTGAGGCGTTAAGTACAAACGGTCGTTAAGTCGACGCGTTCGTAACTCAGGGACCACCTGTACTTCTAGGGGGGCCTCCTTCCCCCATGTGGCCCTTAAAATAATCCTTGTGCTTCATTCTGGACTCGCTAGAGCAGGGGTCTCCAACCTTTCTAAGCACAAGATCACTTTTGGAATTTAAGTGCAATCCAGGATCTACCCCAAACCCGAACACCTTGGCCCCGCCTCCTCCCCGCTCCATCCTCCCTCTTTCCCCCGCTGGGAGATGCAGGCTCTGATCTTGGGCTACAGGATTTGGAGTGTGGGAGGGGCTCTGAGCTGAGGGAGTTGAGGTGCAGGAGGGGGTTCAAGGTGCAGGCTGGGGTGGGGGGGGGGGGGGAATTCAGGCTAGGACAGGAGTTTGGGACCCAGGAGGGGTTCAGGATCGGGGCCCAGAATGCAGACTCCAGTTGGGCACCGCTTACCAAAGGTGGCTTCTGGATGGAGGTGCAGTGGGGCTAAGACAGGCTCACCCCTACCCTGGCCCCTGCATCACTCCCAAAAGCAGCCAGCAAACTCTCTTCACTCCCAGCCCCCCTCTGCTCTGTGGAGATGGGAAAGTGGGGAGGGGGAGAAGGGCACCCAGGTATCAGCACCCCCTCCTCTTCCCATGCCTTGCACAGCAAGCAGGAGGCTCCCAGAGGGCAGCTCCAAGGCAGAGCGCAGGAGCAGCACAGCAGTGCTGAGAGGGGCAGCAAAGTGCCAGCACTTAGCCTCCTGGCCAAACGGATCAGGATCGCCCGGCAGAGGCTGAGAGATCTACCAGTCGATCCCGATCCCGATCCCGATCGACAGGGTGGTGACCACTGCGCTAGGAGCTGCTTTAGAGGATGGTGCAAGAATCTCTCAACTCGTGCAGGAGAAGCTAGCCTGCTCCCAGGGGGGAGAGGTCTCCTGGCTCCCAGCATTTAGCAGCTGGGGTTTATGCTTTGGAGCATAAGGGGTTCCTCTCTCTCCCTAAACATTTGGGTGGTTTTTTCAAGCTTATTATTCTCCCTCTGGATTTTCTTGGTATTTAATTAAGTGCCCACTTCTCCTTTTCAGCCTACTCAACGCTCCACCCCATAGAAACCTGGTGGCAGGGAGTCCCGCAGGCTACATAACAACGTTTCTCTGTTGCCTGTTTTAAAATACATTGAACAAAAATCCCCTTGTTCTTGGATCACGAGGCAAGGAGGACAGAAATCCCCTTGAGCCAGACCAGAGCCTTATCCGAGCCTTGGGATGGGTTTAGAGCGGGGGAGTCAATAGGCCGACTGTGCGCCACATCCCAATCGCCAGGCGCGTTCGATTAGCGCAAAAATCTTTTCACGGGCTTATCGTTACGACACGGAAAAGGTTTCTCCGGAGCCTGGACCCTGACAACCCGCGGACTTGGGTGGCATAGAAACTAGATCCAAAGCCTCCAAGACTAGAGGATTTCCAAACCCAGAACCTGGCTAACTCCCCCCCCCACCCCGTTTCTCTCTCCGCTCCCCCGGGGAGTTCTCCAACTGGCCAGCAGGGGGTGCAGGCTACCTAGCAGCTCTATTAACACCCACCACCTCCTCCCCCAGCACCACAATGCAGAGGTGAGGGGGGCTGGAAACCAAGCAGCCCCCGCCCACCTCCTCTGGAGAGGCGGCTGCTCCGGCAGGCTGCGACGGCGTGGTGAGGGAGCCGGGACCTGCCACGGCCACGTGGTGGTGGGGAGGACGTGGCCTGTTCCAGTGGCAGGGGGCCGGGGCCTGTTCTGGCAGCTGGGGCCAGAACAGGACTTGCTGCATGGTGGGGCTGGGGGGAGAGACTGCTCCGGCATCCAGGAACAGGACCTGCGGGTGGGGGGTGGGGGTCTGCTCGGACAGCTGGGATCGTATCTGTGTCTGAATAAGTTGCGTGCAACAGTCCAAACCAGGGCGCACGACCTCAATTATTGGCGCACAAGCCAAAACTCACTCTGTGCACCGTTGGAAAATCTTAGAGGGAACCCTGGTCGCAGGGTTCTCCCGGCCACTTACAGGGGATGTCCAATGTCTCTGCACCTGTTCAGAAGGAACAGGCCAGTCGTGGTGCTGACAGCGGAGCAGAGGGTTAAATCAGGGCGTCTGTCGGGCTGACCCAGCCTGAAGGCCTGGATCACAGTCACCTGCTCCGGTGAGTCGACTAGCAAGCGAAACCTTCGGGCAAATCTCCTGAAAACAGCTGATCTCTGCCCCCCCCCCCCCCAACTAGGGGGCAAATTCTACCACAACGGGCTTCCTTGCAGTTCGGATCAGAACCAAAAGGATGGAGGGTCAGTACCAGGAGATCAAATCCAACGGGCCGACACGCCCGACATTTCAGGTGTTGGGCTGTGAGGTTCCAGCCCATCTCTGCCCCGCACACGAGTCATGGCCCTGGTGCGAGAATACGACGACTCGCCTGACTGCACCCGTCCAGGAGCCCGAGAGCACCAGCACTAGCTGCAGCAGAAAGTGTAAGAATCCTGCCATGTCAGACCTGGATGCCCCCCACACTACGCCCCATCCTAGCCTCTAACTAGGCTTAAATCCCAGTGCTTGTAGTTTAGCAGCTCTTCCAGAATAGCCATTAGCAATAATTAGCATCACTCTGGATATCCCTGCTCTTCACACAAGTGTCCAATCCCTTTTTGGAACAGACTAAGCTCCTGGTTTCAACTACTTCCTGTGGCAAGGAGTTCCAAAGGGTAACATTCTCTGGCCTTTTATGTATGCCAGCTAGAGGACAATGCTTCCTTCTGGCTTTTAGATCTACTAAAGACTCCCAAAGGGTTGCAATTCATAGCGATGAAGGCCAGAGGGGCTAGGTTGTCATCTCCTCTGACCTCGTGGGGGGCACAGAGCAGAGAATTTCTCGCAAATTCCCCCTGCGCTGAGCCTGATAGCTTGTGTTAGACTTGCAGAAAGGCAACCAGCCTGGATTTGAAGGTCAAAGGATGCAGAATCCATCACTCTCTGGGGAGTTTGGTCCAGTGGTTTCTCACCAGACCTTATTTCTCAGACTCCGATACGGAGGGCTGGCAGCGAACCCATCCCCTGCTACACGGGGGCAGGATCGTTGACAACCAGGCAGATCGTTACCCAACATGCCCTTCCAAACACCCAGTTTCTCATCCTGCCCCTCTCCACTCGTTCCAGAAGAGAACGAGCCAGACAGAGCCACTTACTTGGATTCCGGATCTTCTCTCGTGTTTCGTTTTGGCAGATACTTTTTCACCAGATTCCTGCAAACGAGAAGGAAAACTCATGTGAGTGGAGGTTTCCTGGGGAACAAGGACAGGTAGGGAAGACTGCAAGGGGTTACCAGCTGTGGAGAGGCTGTCAGGCAGGAAGGCCCCTTTCCCTTTGTTTCCCTGCATAGAAACCATCGCAAGAAGTCAGGAAACCCCCAAGTCCTAGCACCAGAAATTTACCAGCCCTACCCCAAGGATGGAAAAGCTGTGGCCTTTGGGAGAAAGCGTGCCCCCTGCCCCAAAGTGTTTGGGGAAGACTGCAAGGGGTTACCAGCTGTGGAGAGGCTGTCAGGCAGGAAGGCCCCTTTCCCTTTGTTTCCCTGCATAGAAACCATCGCAAGAAGTCAGGAAACCCCCAAGTCCTAGCACCAGAAATTTACCAGCCCTACCCCAAGGATGGAAAAGCTGTGGCCTTTGGGAGAAAGCGTGCCCCCTGCCCCAAAGTGTTTGGG